TGATGTCCTGGCAGCTGTCTGCTGTCAGCATAGCACAACCCCACTGGGATCAGAGCTTGCTGAAGTATCCTTCAAGCTGTCTATGAGCAGCTTTTGAACTTTCATCAGGAAAAGGAAGCAGTTGTTTTCTACACAGAAGTGTCTTTCAGATTGGTGCAAGTATGTAAAATGATTACTTTGGTTCCCATCCAGCCCAATTCATTCAATATTTTTTGTCAGGGTACTTGTCATCAGTGGCATTTGCCCAGGGTGAGTCACACCTACCCAGTCAATGATCTGAGAGAGCCCTCAAATCTTTCTCATTTTCATTTTACAGGGTACAGCCCTGGTAAATTCATGACTGTATTGGACCACACAGCACTTTATAGAGCAGCTCCTTTTCTTCTAACCAGATTTCAGCCTAAGAGGCAACTACTTCCAAAAAAGATTCTCTGGTTCAGTGCCTGCCTTTGTTTTCCGAATGTTTTTCACCACTCTGCTTTCTGGTTACACTGCAAATTTAGGTCCACTCAAGGTATTTTTGCCTCCCCCCTCTGCCCCAAAAATGAAGGAAAGCTGAACTGTATGAAAATGTAGTGAGAACTGAGACCCTCAAGGAAAATGACAAGAGGTGTAGAGGACCTTGCAAGACACTTTCCAGGAAATGGGTGGAAAGTTCATCACATGAGTCACTGAAACCTTAGATGACTAAATTCTTGAGGAATAAACTGTCAGGAATATGATACTGGTCAGGACAGTGCAGGGGGAGAAGAAAACTTCTTAAATAGCTGTTGTTTGGTTTTTTGTCCATGATTCATTCCTGAGGAAATTGCTGCATCTCTGGCCAGGAACAGGGCAGCATGCAGGCAGTGCCAGCCCTCCTCTGCAGAGGCAGCAGGCAAAGCGTGCTGGGGTGCACAGCCCTGCTGCTCCAGGCACAGCACCCCTGCCCAAGGAGCTGAGAGGGGATCAGGAGCACTCCATGGCTGTCCTGCCCAGGTGAATAGAGTAAGACAGGATCAGTAGCGCTCATATACCAACTGAATCAATTAACGTCATATTTTTGTATACTAGCGGGTATGAAACCAAGAGGAAATGAAGGTTTTAAAACTCTAATTCTAGCTTCTTTCAAAAAGTTTTCTTGCTCTACCTGCTCCAACCAGTTAACCAAGTTCTAGCAATAAAACTGACCCAAAGGTAATAAGATTTTAAGCTAGTAACAGCAGAAGCAGTCAGACACCCTCCACAGCTACCTGCAGAGGAGCTGAACCAGCATTAGCAGCAGTGGGAAATGTTTGCAGTAGTATCTTGAGTGTGAAGAAACCCCAGTGTTCCAGCATGCCACTGCCAGTTCCCATTTTGAGAAGTTTGACCCAAGCATTTACCATTTCAGCATCAGTTCTGTGTCTCATAATGCTGTTTACGTAATGATTGCTCATTTGGTTCCCATTAAAATCATGGCATTTCTTCTGCAAACCACTGCTCGTAAAAATCTAGCCACCCAGTTTCTCTTTAGATTATAATACAGGAAATAAATAGTAGGATGCACACTGTAATTCACAGAGAATGGGGGGCTTTTTTTCCCCTGTTGGACATATAAAGTTCAGACATTAAAAGTACGAATGTGAAAGATCTGTTAAGGATTGGTGAATCCATCTCCTGCAAAAACAGTGTAGTTACTCCCTGGCGGATGTTCCTCAGGTATTATATTGATAAAAAGAGAGTCTACAGCTCTCCACAGTCAAAGCATCAAGAATCCTCTTAAAATTGGAGAAATGGTAAGTGAAGTTCTCTCAGGCCATCCCAGTGCTGCTATACTTTGAGGCAGTGCAGAGTGACTCCTTGTATTATATATACCAGCACTTTGAAGAACTCAGTTTCAAATGTCTCAAACAATGGGGGTTTCACGGCTTCCTGTGGGAGCCTGCTCTGCAGCCTAACTCATTTTACCATCTGGAGCATTTTCCTGAGTGTCTGCTCACTTAAAACTTTCTTTTAATTGTATACCCACTATTTCTTTTTAAAGGTGACTTATCAAAAGTTTCTGTTGTGTGAAATTCACGTAAGGTCATGCTTTTTTTATTTTTTATGAGGATCAAGAAAACCTTGAAAGATTGATGGCTTCTTCTCTTTGCTTTTTCTTCCTCAGAAATAATAATAAGTAATTAATAATGTATTACTGCTTTTCTAGCTATTCATCTCAACGATTTACAAGGAAGGTCAGCATTGTTGTACTCTTTTTACAGATGGGAAAAATTGAAGCACAGGGCAGGAAACAACTTGCCCAAGATCATTCAATGAGTCTATGGCAAGACTTGGATTTTTAAGCAGGTCTCCACAGTACTGCCCTACTTTTTTTCTACCCTTTTTTTTTTTTTCTTTTTTTGGCCCAGTCTCATTCCCTTTGGCTTTGTTGGAGTACCTAGGAAGGACAAACTTTCCATGAACTTTATTCAGAATTGTAATATTGTAACTGAAAGGTCAGCTTGTTGAATATTTAACAGTTGCTATCTTTCCAGTGTGTTGGTCAAGCATCCTAATTAAGTAGTGATAAATAAAACCAACTAAGCATTTTAACAGACTGAATCAGTCCCTAGGGCCTCCAAGCTGAATTTCCTTCAGCTAGCCTGTGTTTTCCAAGTTGCAGATTGTCCAGCTTGAACACAGTATATATCAAGCACACTTTATCAGTGCACTGCAGAGAGATTTCCTTCCTTCTCAATGCCACCATGCTTACTTCACATGTTGTATTTCCCTTAGCTGCGGGTTTTGGTAAGCGCGTTTCTCAGAATCTGGGTAGTTGCTGAATTATAAATCTTCCAATTTGGAATAATAACACCACAATGTGTACAGCATGATATACTGGGTAGGGAGCCGAGCCCTGAGCAGGCTTACCTGGATATCAGAAGCAGTCTGGCCTTAGCAGCACAGAGCTCTCCTTGAGTTTCTAGCAGACAGGGTATTTCTCCTACCTACCTGTCCAGCCTGTCATTTCAGTGACCATCTTTAGTGGGACAGGATATGCTTAAGCACATGGTAAGACGAGTGTTGTTCCTCACCTCCACGTGGAAAGGTGAAGGCAGTCACATCTGTGTGCTCGCAGTCTGGTCTGCAGGGGACTTGTAACTACCTCACACTGATCAGAGACTAAACTGATAGTGCCCATCACATGCAAGGTGTAGCACTCTGTATGGATTGAGAAATGAGAAATTAGTGCTGTGGGTAGGCCAGAGTTATATATGAGGAGATAGCACACAGATCTTCTTGGCTTCCGACCATTCGCAAGGTATGCCAGAAGTGAAGTCCTTACCCTCTGAGTTATTCCCCTGCTGCTCTTTCAGGCCTCCTTCATTCCAGGTATCATCCAACCAGCATCTGAGGATTTACCAAAAGCTACAGAACTGCTTTTAGGTCACTAAGTACATTGTCTTTGCTTTCAAATTGAGTTTGAGAAATTACCAGCAGTGTCAAGCTTGTGTCTCCTGGCCATGTGAATAGAGGAAGCTAAGAAGTAACAGTAGATTACATAAAGCAGGGAAATCCCCCTCAAACTTCTCCCAGACTACCTGGAACTGAAGCTGATTTGCATACATACAGTACAAATAACTTTGCAATGGCTTCTAGCCCCATGAAAGGGTTACATGTGTTCATCTGTAATCCTTGAGGCCAGTTCCACCAGTTGAATCACTCAGAGAAGATAAAAAGATTGAATCAGAGCTTGTATAGAAATCTAAGCAGTTTTATATAGCATCAACCAACTTCACATGAGGATACAACTGGGTAATGCTATTCCACACAAAATCAATGGGAACTGTTCAATACCTGTTAGTGACTAGTAGTTATTCTAGAAAAACAGTGCAGAAAAAACCTGCCAATCTATGTTATGCTTTTTAATTTGTGAGAATGGATGGGTAGTAGTATCATACTTCCACTAAAAGTGCAACGAAACTTCCTATATAAACCCTGTTTGGTGGAAAATGGACCTTACTGTAAACCAGAAAAAAAGCTATAGTACTCTTGTAGTTGAAAACTATGGTCAGCTGCTTTACAAAATTTGAGACTCATTTGGCCAGGAATTCCTGGGTGATGCTGTTCAAAAAGCAGTGGTGTTAAACAGACTTCCAGAACTCCTGTGATTTTTTTAAACATCATGGTTTAACAGAAACAAGCAAGTGAGCAGAGTAGGAGGAAGACTGAGACACATCTTCCTTTGACAACTTATGTAGTAAGCTTTGTGTTTCTTTTACAATATCACCTCTGTTAATATTAATAACGTCATGGCCTGTTGCCATGAAATACCCTGCTTTTCACTCTCCTTCTTTCAGCTTTATTGACTTTCTTCAAAGCTTTGCTACAGAACAATAGGAATCAGCCCAGGTATGAACTGGCTGTTCTGCAGAGTCCTTCAGGTACCTGAGGGGTCTGTGTGCTACAATGGACCTTGTCTCACTGGGTCATCTGTAGAGACTGAAAAATAAGTACATATTTGAATAGGCCTGGGATGCCTGGCAATGCAGTTAATAGCAGCAAACATGAGGACATGACATGATCTGACTGATGATTAATAGCTTGGATATTTTGGTCCTGATAACTGTGTGTGTTCTTCAGTTTGTGTTCCTTTCATCAACTTGCAGGTTGATCAGGAGGGCTTGCACTTTGTTTTTTTATTATTTCCTCTCAGAAACAACAGTCTATTTATTACATATGGTGTCTAATCACAGTAATATGATAATATCTTGTATTCACATAGAGAGCTTCATCCCAAAGCACTCAGCCTGACATGGACATGGGACTAAGATTAGAAGAGGAGCAGCTCATACTGTTTAGGAAGCAGGCTCTGCTTTCAGCCTAGGTATTAATAAAGCACAAGGAGTGGAGCCATAATATTTCCTCTGAATCCAAAGAAATTTGCTATTAGTTGTAAAATATATTGGTATAAGCTGTGCACTGTTTAACTCTAGAAAATATATTTGAACTGTAAATATTGGGGTTGAGGTGTCTGTCTTTATTGTGTGTTTCAGATGGAAAGGATCAAACAAATTTAATTTGGGAAGGAACCAATCCTGCCCTGCAGCCCATACGAGTGAGGAACACTGCCTTGAAAGATACTTTACTTAGTGCTACTTTACCTAGCACTACTGGAGAGACTTCAAGCAATACATTCAATCTATAGAAAGACCAATGGAAACTCCCCAAAGAAAAGAATAAATGACGACATTGTTTTTCAAAAATCTGTTGAAGCATTCTTCTTCTTTTGTCTCTTTGAAGACTAACTTTAAAACCAAGTACTGTTCTTTGTATGTATGGGGCCGCACTTTGCTCTGAACTTATGAAAAACCTGCATTTTGTTCAAGTTGATTTAAGTGACTTAATAATAAAAGCCTCTGAACAACACACATGCTACTGAAGAAGGATAGGCCACACGTCCCTTCCTAATTCACCTCATCAATTTGGAGAAACCAATAGTTAAGCACATGAGCGTCCACAGCTCATAACATAGTGAAATGTACATTTCTTTTCTTTAAGAGAATGATAAACCCGCTCATTGGTGTGATTAAGAAATGATAGCACAGAGAGTACTTATTCCTGTAACTCACTTGAAAATCACCTGAGGTGATGAAAGAGTTGCTAATAGCTGGGCTCTGACAGTTCAGAATGGAAGGAGAACGGGTAGCAATCTGAATGGTAGGAAGATCACTGTGTATTACAGCTGCTTACCTTCCTCTGTCTTCAAAGCACTTTTAAAGTATTCACACCATGACTGCAAACCACAGAACTATTTACTCACTTTACAGACTTAGAGAAAGTATGAGTTGCTCAAGGCCATTGAAGGCATCACTGGCTGTACTGTGACCAGGATCAGGCTGTTCCCAGCTCTCAAGCCTAAGGAAAAGCCATGGGTTCAGTTAGTGCCAACTGCCAATGCACAAGCGCCACTGGCCCGAGAGGTTGGTTCTGTCCTCTGCTGTCACAGGGAAAGCCTCCCTGAGCAACTGCTTGAAAAGCAGAGTAACCTGTACAGAATGAAATAATACCTGTGCTTGGGTACAGTTGCATGGATTATTTCAATAGTTAATAGCCATCCCCCCTGCCAGGATGTCTGTTGAGTTCACTTAGTCCATGACTGTGAGTTCTATCCATCCTAGATGTCTTCCAGGTCAGGAAGACTGGTGTGCTGTTGGTTGCACCAGGAGCTCCTGACTGGTGTATTTGAAGCAGTCCATCCTCACTGTCAGTGGTAGTTATGACATACAGTAGCAGTGTCATTCAGCAACCAGTATTACTTATGCAATTAAACATTACAGACTGTTCTCACCCAAAAATCAAATCCCCTCGAGATACACATCGTGTTTCCCTGTTCCTCTGCATCACCCACCAAGTGCACCCAGGTCCTTGAGCAAAAACAATCCCACAGAATGGTTTGTCTTTGCTTGAGGCAGGACTAATCTCAACTGTCTAATCTAACGCATTTCTCATATGCATCACAGGGACTTTATCCCCTTTTATGGTACATAGAGGTTCTGATTGGGCAGAGCCAGTTCAGTTGGTAGAGCCTCAGGTGTTAACGAACCAGGTGGCTTTTGCTAAATTCCAATGTTTGAAGGTCCCATTGCTTTCAATGTGGTTTTCAACAGTCCATTGTACCATTCAACTTTCCCAGAGGCTGGTACATGATAGGGAATGTGATATACCCACTCAACACCATGCTCTCTGGCACAACATGCCGCAAACCACAGAACTACTTCCTTACCTTACAGGCTTTTGCTGTTTGCTAGGCAGTCTTTGGGTGATGAGAGAGTTCCTGGGGAGCACATGGCCCCTGTTTAAAAGTACTGCACACCCTTACTGTGGCACTGCAAGAGACATGGAAGCTGATGTTGCATCACTCCCAGCCACCAAGCAGGATGGCATGGAGACAGCATATCTGCAGCCATCTACTTACACACCTGCTCATGCAGCTTTGGGCTCTCCTTTAACAAGGAAGTTTCCATCACAACAAGGAAGCTACTCCATTTCAATAAGCTACTTTTAAAAGCTAATACATTTCACCTTGGGAAGAGCAATTTTCCAGCTTCAGTGTTACCAGTTTTGGGGTTTGAAGAAACCTTTGTAACATGTAATTTTAATTTTGTTTTAACTAAGATTCAGATTTTCCTGAGGGTGTTGCACTACTGGCCACTCAAACCTTGCTGAACTTGCTTGTAGCCATTTTATCTGGGTATCTTGTAAATATTTGATAGAACACTCAGACAGAGAAGTGTTTTTGCTCTTAGTCACATGCCTGGTTCCAGGACCTTTTGGAAGCACAAAAGACTGAAAGCAGGGAAAATTCCACTGAGATGCATTAAAGTCTCCAGGGAGCAACTGCACTCTGTTTAGACTGAAATTTCTCATTGCTGACTCTCCCTATTTTTAAAAAACATTAAAAATATAGAGAGGGGAAAGCTGGTGGGTTTCACTGTTATAAACACCAAAATGTTTTCACTCATTTCTCTTATGTTGCAGAACCATTGGCAGTTGGAGAGGGAGATAATGCTCTCTGCGCTACCTGGGAAATTTCCATCCAATTTCTAAAATGTTTTACAAACATTAATGAATTAAAGTTTAATCCCCTTTTCATCCCTGTGAAGCAAGTACAGTTTAAAGACAGGGCTAATGAGACTAAAATAGTTGTGCCTTGCTGAAGTCACGTGGGCAGCGTGGTAGGAGGACTTGGGTCTTTGAGTCACAGCTTTCTAGCTTATACCACAGAAAACACACATTCCCTCCCTTTTCCAGGCTTGCTATACTTCCCCTTCTGGGATATGGTGAAAACATGCTGGCATCACACCTTGAGACAACCTTTGCTTTTCCCTCTTGAAACAGAGAGATTGCTCACAACTGCTGTCCCATGGAATTAAAATGTTGAAAAAATCAGAGAGGGATGTGAGGTGAGGGAAAAACAATCAAGTCACTACTCTGTCTGCCTTGGGCATGCTCTCCTCCACTACCAGTGGAGTTGGTGTTCTGTCAGGAGCATCCTCAAACATTTTTTTATGTGCTTCCGTATAATATTCAGGCAGGTCTATGGTAAAAATGCCATTACCAAAGAGAGAACTTGACTGACAAGAAAATTGGACAGATGAGCCAATAAGTCACTCCTGTATTGAATATATGTAATTTCATTATCCTTCTGTATGTGACCTGCATTTCTTACTGCTTGTTATTATCAGAACCCTGTATCTACTGCTGCAGCCATCTCTTTCACTTCTTCAGAAAAGAGGGATAATCCATCAGCCAGTTCCTCTCCAGTGGTATGAGAGGCTTTTACTGGGGGGATTAATGGTCAGTTGAAGAGAGCTGTTCCCGACAGGACTGAGCCAAAAACAATGTGCATGTGAGTCATGAAGTGGAAGAGAAGGAAACAAATCTATAGATTCAAAGTTTTTGAATTATTTCTTTTCCCTAGCTTCCTTTGTCCACACTGATCAATAGCCAGACATGCAAAAACTGGATATATGTTGTTGGTGACCAGTGTAAGCAGAACTGAAAGCTTCTCCCACTGAGCAAACAAACCTGAAGTCAGTCAGCCCCTAAAACCAGATCAGTGTGTACCAGCTATTCCAGCCCTTGTAGGTGAGAGAAGCTGGGAGAAAAATCAGATCACAGTGCAGCAGCCTCCTCTTGTCTCTCCTGTGACCCCATGGTGTACCTCAGCACTAAAGCCTTTGGCCTCTTCACACTATTACCTTCTGTGGTGAGGCCCCAGAACCGGTCCTTGGGTATGCTGCTTCTCTAACACTCATCCCTGCAGAGGATCTGGACTCACTGCAAATGCTGTGCACAGTGCTCATTTCATTTCTTGCTGAAAGGGAGCCAGGCCTGAGGTGGAACATGGCAAGCAGTTCGCCGCACCTGGCAACTCCACACAGCTGCTGAAAACAAGCGAGGAAGAAAGCAGTGTACAAATGCAGGGGAATTTTCACATAGGCAGGATGTAATTAGCAGAGCTGGAATTTGGCCAGGACACTGGGGTTAAAACACTGGCTCACAGGTAACACAGTGGGATCTTTCATAATTCAAATGCTCAGGATCTCCCATTTCCATTTTACCTGGAAGATGTCATAAGACAGTTCCCTATTTAATGTCTCTGGGCAGCTCTCGAACATCTGACACAAAGGAAGAAGTGTCTAAATGGTGCTGCACCTGCAGCGCTTCTCCGCCAGCAACTGCCCACTGTGAACAGCAGCTGAAAAGATCACATCCTGACAGGACTATGGCTGCATCACTCTAAAACACACCTCAGCTGCCTCCATGCCTTGGGTTTCACTTCACCCCTAACTCTAATTACTCAGTTTTCAGGCTCCAAATCCCTACCAAACAGAAGGAGAAGATGATAAAATTAGGGCATTCCCTTGCACATAAAACATAAAAGAGAGAATATTAATAAGAGCAGCATTACATGCTGCTTCAACCTTATTCTCTGCCATTTGAAATAGTACCAGATAGCAACTGGGCAACAGAGAATTTAGATGAAGTACTTCCCCCCAGAGCAGATGAGTGAGCTTTTCCAACTGGCCTTGCTGGTGATAGAACGTTAAGAGCTTGTGCTGCCTCCTTCCTTCCAGCAAGGAAATCACGTTCAAGGCAGCAAAACATTTTTTTCCCCTTCATGATCTCACTTTCTGTATAAGCAATCTTTGTGTTTACTACGAGGATGTTGCATGTCCACAAAAGGTCAGGGAAGTCATTCATGAATCTCAAGTGTGCAAAATTTACACAATGTTTCTACCATGATGTGGCCCATAGTCTGAAATAGAAATAATAGCAAACCTCTAGCCCCTCATCAGTCAGACCTGCAGACTATTTACAGTCAAAGAGCTGACTTCCTCCATGTGATGCAGTGCACGCAAGCAAAACAAGAAGTGTTCCTGCCATCCAAAAAAGTATAATCTCTGCATCAGTAAGTCATGAAAAAGGGACCCCTTCTATGCCTCTGAGGGGTCCCCATAGCAGATTTTGGTTTATTTAGGGGTTTTTTTGTATGCCCAGGGTGACGTACAAGTCCCCCTCTTTGTCAAGTGTTCCTTAATACAATCACCAGCCAAACTTGACGAGAGCAAGACTTACTCCAATGACAAAGTGAGCTGGTGAGAGTAAAGTATGGGCAGCTGCAGGCAACAGGAAATCCAGTACTAATAAATAAAATGTCTTATAGCCAGAAAGAGGAAATAAACAGCGGCAGCACAAA